TAATTAAATTTTTTTTTAATTTTACACAGATATATATACACAACACATCTGTTGTACTGGCTGGCAGATACACCTGATGTAGGCATAGTAAAGCACTTAAAATCCCCATTACCTAAAGAACAGATAGTTATTTGCTTTCTAATGTCACCATTCTAATACGGAAGTTCTCATCTACCATCATTATTCAAATACCGATTAAAATGTTGGGATGGCAGAAGAGGAAAAGTTAGGAGTGTTAATTCATCTTTTCATGTATAGCATATGAAGTGGAAAATGAAACCTTTTTTCCAGAAAGCAAATTATGAGCTGAACTGCCTGTACATTCATCTTATTTTCACCATAAATATAAGTTAACAATGATCCAAATAAGTGTTTTAATAGCTCTAACTGCACTCATGCAAGAGTGTACAGTCTTCTGCAGGGCCAGAATATACTGTCCCTATAGGAAGGCAGCAAAAACTAGGACACATGATCATGCTTCAGTTACCCCAGTTCATTTAATGTATTAACTTGACACAAAGGAAAATTACATTGTGCTAAGACACCGGACTGTCAACTGTGCCAAGACTTGGCTCAGCTAAGGCACAGGAATGCATCTTATTTTGCTGTGCTTTCTAGTGAGCTAAATTTCCTTCAGCAGACAGCAATGGCAGACAGCAACATCTTAAGATATTTACTGCTATACCCACCAAAAGTTTAAGGCACTAAGGGGGAACTGTGTAAGTGCAAGAGTTCCTAAATAAGCCAACTGACACACTTACAAAGAACAGATATACTGGGTTGCTGGAACTGCAGTTGTTGGTGCTGATCAGCTTCTGGTTCTTCAGGCTCCACTTGCGTAGAAACCGATGCTGAAGTACTGGGAACAGGAGTAGTACCAGTGACAGATAGGGGATGCTTTGACCCTGCATGGGAAGCACTTGATGGTTGCTGTTGCTCCAGCTGCTGCTTCTGACTACCTTCTTCCTGAAGCTTCTTCTCCTGTTCTTCTCGCACCAACTGACGCTGCTCTCGCTTGCGCTTAATCAAAGATACCCTGTCCTTGATAGCTTTCGCCATTGTCTTGTGATCCCCTTCACAGACATAGCCAGATTCCACCTGAAGGAGGATATATTCACAGAATTCAGACTGTCATAGACAGCCACTGTTGTAGTGTTGCAACATAAACTACCACTCTCTGGCACTAACTTCTCATTCACAAACTTCTGAAGCTGTTTTATTTCTAGACAGTAACAACTGCAAATACAGAGGCTGACAGACTACATTTCACTGTCACAGAACACCAGTACTTCTGATACTTTCCAAGACCACCACCACTTACCATTTCCTGTGCTACATCCTCGGGGACATCTCTCTCCAAGTCAAAGGAAAACTCTATTGCCTCATTATCTTTATATTTGCCCTTGAGTTTTTTGATGTCTTCAATTCGCAGCCAGAGTTTAATGGCAATTTTTTCTCCATCATCTTCCTCTGCTAGTTCTACCCGTACTCCAGTCTCTTCTTGGAAGAAAGCATGATTCAAAAGATCCTTAATAGCATATCTAGCATATTGGGAAAGAATGTAGAAAACACACAGGTATTAGGTTTCCATAAAATATTAAGGAATATCCTTGCCTGATGATGCCTCAAATTTATTCTCTACATGACACGCTTTTCCTATGAATTATTTGGCAGCCCGTCATTCAAATTTCGGTTTAAAACCATGAGGGAGAAACAAAATGCAAAAATACTCTACATGCACAAAAAAATATAATCACAGATTGATCAGCAGAAGTACCAACAGATTTAAGCCAACTGAATGTGCTATCTATTAACTAAAATAATAAGAAACGCTGGAGAAACAGTTTGGTTTTACTGAACATTAAGATCCAACACACAAGCTTTAGTTCACAGTACAGTAATCAAAGTACATATACATATTTCAGTCTATTTCAAGATCTTATCAAAAGTCTCATCTAGTAAATTCAGCACTAGATAAGCACCACATTATTCTTTTCATATTTTATACTATTTTGAACTACTTCAACTTGCATCCTCTTTGGCACAATTAGGAAGCTTTGTCCTAAAGGTACAAAAAAGATCTATGTTCGTATATGCACAGCCTTAACAGTAGTAGCGTAAAAGTTAACTGCTTGAACTAAATGGCAAGGAATAAGTGATGTGCAGTAACAAAATTAACCTAAAATAGGAAAAAATATGCAATTGTTTAAGAAAAAGAACAGAATTTGAAAATACACAGCAATGCCATCAGATGTAAAACTTCAAGAGTTAATAGAAGGGAATGAATAAACTTGCATGAACTAACAAACCAGCTCTGAACAGAACAGCAGGAAGCTAGAGGAAGACCAAAGGCTGAAGCATTCTTAAATCAGATATTCAGTAGGAAACAGCTAAGTAAAAGCAGAAAACAAAACAAACCACACAAAAAAGCCACCAGAGCAGTCACGGACTTAATGTAATGGTATAAGTTAACCATTTCAAGTAGAAGTCATCTTGCAGAAAAAATGTGGTTGAAAAAGAGCAGCAATTTTAAAAATAGGAAGAGCCCTCAAAACAATCAGCCATAAAATGCCACCAAAAATCAAAGCGACAGGAAAAACAACACATTACAGAATAACAAACCAACCAAGCAATCCAAATACCTGGGAACCCTGAAGGACTGTCCTCCGCTATTTTGGTGACTAGGTCAAAGTTTTAATAAAAGCAGTAGAATTTCAGAATAAACTGACATAGATGGTTATTACAGCATTTGCACATTTCCTGACACTGTTAATTCTCTATAACAATCACTGAATAATCTACCAAGAAACAGAAGCTGCAGAAGTAATACTGGCTTCCCAACTTCGATCAGCACACAGAAGACCTCAACTAACAATCTGGCATCATCACAGATACAAGCCTCAAGACAGCAAGTAACACCTCTACCCAAAGAGAAAGTACTTACCTTTCGCCTTTGTTTTGTCGAATGCATCCCTCAATAATCTCCTTCACTTCAGGGATTGCTACTTTATCAAAGCTGGCTGGCTTGACACCCTGGAACATACAAAAAAACAGAGAAACTTCAAGGCCCACTCGATTTAAGTTCTGATTGTGTTTAAACAACAACTATCTTTACTCAATAGATAACTGGCCTGAATTCCCCACTAGTGCAAATTACAGAGAAATCTGACTCCAATCTTACTGTTCATCTGTTTGTTAGTGACTTTTGCAAAGATTTCCCCCCTCTCTATTTCTCAGCTACACTTTCCATAACAGAAGGCTTTGGGAATTAGGTTCTTAGTTATGATAGGAGAACCGTTTAGTTTCCATGGAAGTTATGCTGGTTAGAGGCAAGTACACAGACTGGACTGAGGACAGAAGGAAATGTTTTCTATGTAACACTAATGCACAAATCCACATGATTAATTTAACGGTCTTCAAAGGATTCTGCTGCTTCCCAGAATGCTTCCAACATGCCATTATATGAAATAATTTTTGAATAGACGGATTTTACAGGAAAAACCTTAGTCCAGAATAATCTGACTTGTCCAACATTTAAAAAAATGAAATTAAGAAAAAAAAACAACGAGCCAACCAAAGCCACCAAAACCCCACTTTCCTGTATCTTGGCTCTCCCCAGGAGACCTACTACACACCTGCATCACTGCTGTTGTCAGTTCAGGAAAATGAGTTTAGCAATACAGACCTTTACAAAATCCCTTCAACAATAGATAACAATCCTTCATCCAGTACATGCTAAGGCCATTGAGGGAGAGCAAAAATAAAACCTAAGTATGAACAGCTACTTAAATCAGTAAAGCAAATAGGCCATGAGATACAACCATCTGGGAATTCTACAAAACACTGCAGGCAGAGAGCCAAACTTCATCACTTAATCATGGCCAGAAGCTCTATTTCAGGGGGCATTTGTCCACAACAGCAAAATTTGGCACTCAATTTTACCTAATTCAGCCTTTAGTGTCAAACTCTGTATTTAAGATAACAGAATGAGAGAGGATGAAGACATCCTGTTCAAACTCTGTTATATGAATAGCCCACGTTTTCAAGCTGAACAATCATGAAATCATACACTTGATATATCTGATCCTGTGTCACTGGTAAATCACAACTAAAAAAGAGAAAACTATAGAGTCTGAAGTACAGAAATAAGTGTAGTAGTAGTACAAAGTAGAAGCAGTACATGATTAGTGTTCTAACCAGAAAGCACTTCTCCCAATATCCTATATGATACTGCTTCACACCAAACAGGGATATCAAGACACAAGCTTTCCCCCTTCCTCTACTGCCAGTGGGAAACAAGTCTGGAAACAGAAAAGTTCAAGTCTCTGAACCAGAGTCTTTGCAACTACACACCTTCATTTAACTGAACATGGAGACATCATATGACAATAATTTCCATTTACATCTAGTTACTTCTTTTCCCCCTTGGCCAGACACAGCAGTATATTGACTTCATATGTTCACTACCTAAATTATTGTCCACCACACTCTTACAGGAGAGGGCACAGTCAACACCAACTTCAACATAAGCAAACACAAGACTGGGAGAAGCACAAGAGTCCGGTCTTTCAGTGGACAACGGTGCTATTTGTCACTATGGCTTTCCAAGGTGGTGTATATGAAATTTTTTAAAGGAAAAAAAAAAACCAAACCAAAACATTACAGAAAGACGCAGGTTTTCACTTGATAAAAGCTTCCTGTTACAACAGCACTCTGGTTATCTATCTCTTTCCTCTAAAATTTGCTCTTTTGAAATTAATGTTCACCATAACTTAATGCTTTTAAAAGCTTCACTGAGCATTAAGACTTCTGGAGATTAATGCCTCAGCTGATGAGACACCAGATCAAAGTTAGGACAGGTAAGTTTAATACTCTAACCAGGTCATATCATAAATCTCCAGCTTTCTAGCAGGGTATGACAGAGCCCTACACTTTATAGGGATTTATAAAACTAGCTTTAGCGTTTACTACTGGCATCAAGTACCTGTTTGCTTGTGTCTCTGCTCATAAAGCAGACTGGTCAGACATACCCACCTTTATTTATGAACCAAGCTTAAAATGGTGCCAGGAGTTCAGGTTCAATTATGTAGAGATAGATACTTTTACACAGAATTAGATGTGCTTCTATATACACATACATACATATGCAATAATTATTCAACTGCTTATTGTATTTATTTGTATCTAAATCTGTAAAGCTTAACACATCTAAGTCTCCTAAACTGCTCAAACACCAGACATTGCAGCAGTCTGCATGTATGTTCATTCACACTATGGCAGCAAAAGATGTCAGATCTGCGACAATCTCATTTCACAAAAACTAAAAGCTGAGTAAGACAACTAGTACAGTAAAATATTACCATAACGAAGCCAGAACATAAGTTTTCTTGATAACTATTTTATCATATGCTCTGTTCTTGCACAAAGACTGAAAAGGTAAAGCTAAGAATAGATTCTGGAATCGGTGATTCAGTCTGCTACCCTGTGTTACTCTATCCTGAAAGGAATTAAATACCTGTCCAAAGTCTTCAGGCCCTTCCAAGAGGGCCATTTTACAATAACCCCATTTTGTGAATTCCAGACCAAGAGTTGGGTTAAAAAGAGAAGCCCTCCACCCCCAGCATCACTTCTATGTTCTTAACTGCTCCTCAGAAAATCTGGGAGGATCTCACACTACAGCCTAAAGCCAACAGAGGATTCTGTGTCTAAGCAGCTACACATTTCTCAGTTTGTTCCACAGTCCATGAGAAGGGTTGCCTAAGCCCAGTCTACAGTGCTGGCCAAGTGCCCCTTACACTGAAGTTCAGGCCATTTAAGTACCATCAGCTTTTAAAAACATTTTCTCTCCTCCAAGCACTATGGGAAGCATCAAACTATTTCATGCAACAAGACAGAGTATACTATGAAAGATACAAATCACTGAACCAGTGAACCCTTTTCTACCCAGAGCTGCCTATACACCTTAACCTGTCATCACAGAGAAACCAAAGGGCTCTGCAATTCACCTTGCAATAACCTTGATGTGTCCTTAAGAGCGCATGAGGTGTGCAGCCAAGCATACGTTCATTAGTTTCTGAACACAAAGGCACTCAAGTACATACTAAGCCATTTGGTACTTCCTGGTTTTCACCACACTTACTGCAAAATGGTCACATTTTCTCTTTGTCCCCAAACTCCTTCGAAGAATCACAGAACAACTCACATCTTTTAATCTACTAGACCTGTTCCCTAATGGCAGTTTAATGAGAACTGAACACCCAAATCTCGCTAGCATTTTTTTTCCTGAGTTTGCTAAAGAAATAGAAGGAAGAACTCTTGCAGAGGAAAAAAGTGTAGGTGGGTGTAACAGGCACACACAAAAATCAACATTTTCTCAAGCTACTGTCCAAAATACCATCAACTGGCACTGCTGCTGAAAGCACAAGTCTCCTGGTTTCCATCTCCCATCCCCACACCCGTGTCATTTCCTCCCTTTTGCCGGCACATGCATCTGAACAGCTGGATAATGAACCAGATGATGGTGTTTATCAGACTTGAAACAACTCCAGCCAAAAAAGCCTGCAGCAGTTTCCAGTGGAAAGAAGGTCCCCAGTCTGGCTCCCTACACCACTGCATTAGCTCTCAGGCTCACAGAAGGAAAGTGATAGTGCAATAGCTAAGAAAAGCAGAACTGCTTCTTTCAGAAGACGTGCCAACTTAAAATAAAGCCCACCGAGTGCTTACATTTTGAGAGCACCTCTAAAATATGGCATGTATGTAGGTAGTACAAAGTGCACCTGATGCAAAACTAAATACTTATCTTATAGTCTTTATGTTAGGCTTAAGAGAAAATTTCATTTTGTTTCTCTTAGATATGGTAAAGTCTAATTTTATCAGATTTTAATCAGGTGGAAAAAGTTCATTCCAAAATTCAACATTCACATTTATATAGTTATTTGATCCATTAAAGGCAAGTATGGTACTCTTATCAACACTGGACTTTCAAGATGCTTTAAACGCTAAAGTATACACTACCCAGAACTTTACAATTCTTGCCTAGAAACACAGTTACTTTATATTAGTTAGATGACCAGATTACTAGGTCAGTGGTTTAGCATCTTGTCCTATTGCAAGAGATACAGAAAAGTACTATTTACTTCATAAGAGAAGGTACAATCAGTGCTGTATAACTTTTACACCAAATCAAAATGAAGACAGTGGAAGCATTACATACCCTCAACCAACCCTAATTTAAAAAAAAAATAGATTTGGAATGACAACACAGATAGAAAAGAGCAGAAGCAGTAAGTGTTGTTCCTTGCTGTTCAGGATTTTTATGTATAATTAAAAAATTATAGAGTAAGACGTACAGTCAAGTTTAAAAGCTGAAGACCCAATCTATGCAAACATAAAGCAGTTCAGCAGACTTATCAAGAATTCCGATTCACCCCCACAATCCTTTCTTGCGGCTACACACACTCTATACAGCCAAAATTCTTACCTACCTCTTTACCGCAATCCTTGCGAGAGCAGCAGCAGCAGCGGGAATTAACAATTACAAATACAGGACAGATCTCTCTCTTTGTAAAATCCATCAGGAATAGAGAGATGCACACCCCAAAGAGTCAGTTGGGTGTTGGTTTCCGATGGGAATGCACTGGGCTGTGGATTTAACGCACAGCCGAAGGAAAGCAGACATCAAAGTTAGAAGGGAGCATTGTTTTCTCTTTGACACCTCTTGTACTTTTCCAAGTCCAGTACATGAGGCTGTAGAGATTTGAGCTCAATATCTGCTTTTGCCACTGATTCACTGATTAGAATGAATCAATATAAGCGAGACGTAATACGTGCGAGAGGCAAGCGCGTCCTTTTCTGCCTTCCCAGCTGGCTGTGAGGAGGAAGAAGAGGCAGCACAGGAATCCTTTACTTCCTGCATGTCCCCGCCCCGCTGCCTGGCTGCTCTGCCTATTCTCCACCCAGATTTTCTGCACCATCGTCACCCAGGTCCCTCCTGCTGCTGCACAAGCAGACTTTTAAACAGAGGGGTACAGGTC